CCCAGCCCCTCGTCTAGGCCCTGAGCGTGAGCGTTACTTTCTGGTGGTCGTTGACGACTTCTCCCGCTACACCACAGTGTTCCCTCTGGCGAAGAAGTCTGAGGTGACTTCTACGCTGATCAGGTGGTTGCTCACCACCGAGGACACTCGTGGTCGTCGTGTCAGCTGTCTCCACTCCGACCGTGGGGGTGAGTTTCGCTCCGGCATTCTCGCTGGATTCTGTCGCGAGCAGGGCATTCGTCAGTCCTGGACGCTTCCAGAGTCCCCACAGCAGAATGGGGTTGCTGAGCGCCGCATAGGCCTGGTCATGGAGATCGCCCGCACCTCCCTGACTCACGCCTGTGCCCCCCATTTTCTGTGGCCCTACGCGGTCAGGTACGCCGCGCACCAGCTGAACCTCTGGCCACGTGTCTCTCGACCAGAGGTTTCACCGACCAGTCTTTGGACAGGGTTCCCTGGTGTTGCGTCGCGGTTTCGTGTCTGGGGGTGCTTGGCTCTTGTCCGCGACACCTCCGCGGACAAGCTCTCGCCTCGTGCCGTCCCCTGTGTCTTCCTTGGTTTCCCTGAGGACTCCTCTGACTTCACCTTTTACCACCCTCCCTCTCACCGGTTCTTTGACTCCCGTGACGTCCGTTTCGAGGAGTCCACTCCGTACTACGTCAGGTACCCCAGTCGAGGTCTCCCGGTTCCTCCTCCCCCCCTCTTCCTGACTGCCGTTCCCCCTCCTGCTCCCCCGGTACAGCCTCCCCCCCCTGGTCCAGCCCCGTCAGGTGTGTCCCAGGCTACCCCTCCTCCTTCGGTAGCCCCTCCGGTACAGCCTCCCTCCCCACAGTCCTCCTCGCAGCGTGCCGCTGGTGCTAGCTCTCGAGAGGTTGGTGCGACGCCTGTTCCTGTACCGGTTTCTGGTTCTGGGGGTGCTGGAGTTAGAGCTGGAGTTGGAGCTGGAGTTGGAGCTGGAGTTGGCACTGGAGTTTCTGGTTCTGGGGGTGCTGGAGTTGGAGCTGGGGTTGGAGCTGGAGTTTCTGGTTCTGGAGTTGGAGCTGACCAGGTGGGTGCAGAGGACGCTTGTCGTCCGGGAGCTGGTGCTGGCCGCGCGGACACTGGGGGTGCTGCGTCTGGGGGTGAGGGTGCGCCTCCTTTGGGTTCAGGTGAGCCTGGGTCTGGAGCTGGTGTTAGTGCTGCCTCTGGGGGTGGTGAGCCTAGTTCTTCTGGAGTGGACTCTGGAGCTGCCGCTGCTTCGGACACTACTCCGCCCCCCCACCCCTACCCGACTAGGCACCAGGCTCGTGTTCGCCGTGCCCGTGACGATCAGCTGGCGTTGGAGAGAGAGGAGAGGGAGTTACAGCGGCTGGAGGAGCAGCAGCAGCAGCTGGACCCGCAGGAGCAGCAGTCCCAGCAGCAGCCGCGTCCGCAGCAGCAGCAGTCGCAGCCGCAGCAGCAGCAGCCACTTCCTCCTCCTGTCTCGGGTCTTCGGATCCTTGGTCTCCCCTCCCCTTCTCCTCCCTCCTCCGCCTCTCCTCCTGTCTACGGTCCCACGTTTCCTCCTCCTGACTCCTCCCCCGCTGTTTTCCCCAGTTCCCGCCCTTGTCCTCTTCTCCTCCGTCTCGTTCTTGGGCTACTCGTCGCTCCCCTCGTGCTCGTCCCTCGTCTCCTGTTCCCTTCACTGACCTTCGTACTGCCTTCCTTCTTTCTAGTCCACCTCGTCCGTCTCAGTCTGTGCTTCCGTCTCCTCCTGAGTCGGCCCTCACTGTGTCGCTCCCTACTCCTGTCACTGACTACTACCGCACGTACCGTCCTGTTCTCTCTCGTGTTCTCGCCTCTCTTGTTACTCACCCTCGTGCCTCTGTGTCCTCTGTGTCCGCTCTTACTGCCGCAGTTACTGACTTTGCCTCTACCCGCCGCCTTGACTACGCCACCACGCTTGTGGCTGCTCCTCCTACCAGTCCTCTGGCCGTCGGGGGTGTGTCTGCCCTTGGCCGTGACGCCCTAGAGGACAGGCAGTTTGAGCTAGAGTTCCTGGCGGCCGCTTCCCCTCATCTCTGTGCCATGCTCCTCGCCCCTGAGGGTGACCCCGACGCCCTTGACATTCCGACTCCTCGCACTTACGCTGAGGCAGTGTCAGGGCCTTGGGCCTCTCAGTGGAGAGCTGCCATGGACGCAGAGATGGCCTCCTACAGATCCACAGGCACCTACGTCGATGAGGTTCCCCCCCCGGGGGCGAACGTAGTCGACGGCATGTGGATCTACAGGGTGAAGCGGCCACCGGGATCTCCCCCGGTCTTCAAGGCGCGCTACGTGGCTAGAGGTTTCAGTCAGCGCGAGGGAGTTGACTTCTTTCAGACCTTCGCACCTACCCCGAAGATGACCACTCTTCGGGTGTTACTACACGTAGCAGCACAGAGAGACTACGAGTTACACTCTCTTGACTTCTCCACTGCTTTCCTTCAGGGCAGCCTACACGAGGAGGTCTGGTTGCGTCGTCCCTCGGCCTTCACTGGCACCTTCCCTCCTGGGACCCAGTGGAGGCTGAGGCGACCTGTTTACGGTCTTCGCCAGGCCCCTCGTGAGTGGCACGACACTCTGCGTTCTACCCTCTCTGACCTTGGGTTCCAGCCGTCTTCTGCCGACCCGTCGCTGTTCGTTCGTCGTGGCTCCACACCGTTCTTTGTTCTGGTTTACGTCGACGACCTCGTTTTCGCCACTCCGGACAGGGTTGCTTTGGCAGACGTGAAGTCCGAACTGCAGAAGAGACACACGTGCACTGATCTTGGTGAACTGCGCCACTACCTTGGCCTGCAGATCACCAGGGACAGAGCCGCTCGCACCATTACACTCTCACAGTCACACATGGTGCAGCAGGTCCTTCAGCGGTTCGGGCTTCAGCACTCCACCGTACAGCGCACACCTCTAGCTGTTGACCACAGACTCACTGGTCCCTTTCCTGACGAGCCGTTTGAGCCTAGTGGTCCCTACGCAGAGCTTGTGGGTTGCCTCATGTACCTGATGACTTGTACTCGCCCGGACCTCGCCTTCCCTCTCAGCATCCTTGCGCGCTTTGTTGCGCCAGGGAGACACCGTCCTGTTCACTGGACGGCAGCTGTGAGGGTGGCGAAGTACCTAGCGACTACATCAGGCGTGGGGCTAGTTCTTGGAGGGCAGCAGTCTGTCGTACTCACTGGTCACTGTGACTCCTCTTACGCTGACGACGCTGAGACTCACAGGTCTACTCAGGGGTACTGTTTCAGTCTGGGTTCTGGAGCTGTTTCCTGGCGTTCCACGCGCTCCTCTTCTGTCTCGACCTCTACAGCTGAGGCTGAGATTTACGCTGGTGCCATGGCGGCACAGGAGTTGCGGTGGTTGACCTTCTTGCTCACTGACCTTGGTGAGCGGCCGAGCTCTGCACCGACCTTGTTTACTGACAACAAGGCGTCGATCCTCCTCTGTCGTGAGCCGCGACTGGAGAGCAGAGTGAAGCACATTCACATCAGGTACTTTCTTCTGCGAGAGTTGCAGAGGCGTGGACAGGCTCGCTTCGAGTTCGTAGAGTCCGAGGCCAACACTGCAGACATCTTCACCAAGGCGCTTCCGCCTTGTGACCACCAGAGGTGTTGTGTGCAGTTAGGCCTTGTTGACACAGGTTCTAGTCATGCGTAGACTTGAGTTTATTGCCTGCTTCGTCTGTACATTTACTATATATACTTGTGATCTCTTGGACTGGCCTTGTGGCCACTGTTGCTTGTGCTCAGAGTGTGTGGTGACGTTGTGATCCACCCTGAGCTTTGTTTTCTTTTGGACTGGTCTTGTGACCGTACTCTTTTTGTTTTTGCTAGACACCCCTCACTTAGGCTATGGGGGTGTGTCAAATGTTGTAGCCTGTAGTGAGGTTTGTCTTAGGGGGTACAGAAGTTAGGGTTTGTCATATGTACCCCAACCAACATCAATGCAACACTCATTCCTCATTCTGACACATATCAACCCCAGTTGCAGCATTGATGCATTTAATATTTGCCTCGAAACATGCACAAATTTATGTGTGGTTTTTGTGCATGTTTGCACACGTTTATGTGTGTCTTTGTGTGTTGTCATATGCGCTCTAGTTTTAGTCCAACCAATCCAACTAATCCATTCGCCGTATTTATCGACGACTATGGAATAATTGGGTACATTTGGTTTCACATGTTGTGGAACTTGTGAACAGTGTTCTTCCCCAAGATTAGTGGGGAAAATCACTGTTCACGTCACTTCCCCAAAAAGTGAAACCAAATGTATAAGGTTGCTACGCAACCCAATATTGTGTACAGGTGATGCTCACCTCCTGCACGCGAAATTGCCTTGCACTTTTTAGATGCCCTGCCCACGATGACGAGGTGCTCTAGAGGTTGCACCCTGGGTACAAGCCCCCCAAACCACTTGCATGAAGGTTGGTAAACTCCAAAACACCCAAACAGACACAAGAAACAAGCCCAGTCGACCAGGGTCTGCCTTGTTTCTTGGCCAGAGACAAACATCGCGAAATGACAGGGTGAAACTCCGTTGACGTCGCGCGTCACTTCGCTCATGACTGGCTGCCACGTAGGGAGGTTCATGGTGCGTCAAACACATTTTAGGAGAGGTGCAACAATCTGACGTGTACCTTGCCCATGCTCGATACAAACACATCGACAACCAAGCGTTGTTCAATACTCACACGTCAAACATAGTGGTTGTGGTAACACTGACTCCACACGCCACAATTTAAGGCCACATACATGTGTGTTTCCTGACAAGGGGTCGACCAACAGCCTTTGCAAACGCTCACTCAAGCCGCACTCAGCAGCACACGTTTTCACTTGAAATATGCTAGCAATTTCTCTTGACATTCAATCACTCCATCCCGCTAGCTCAACATGCCTCGTCTCTACCACCGCAGCCAGTTAGCTGTGCATATCAAACGGGCGATTTGCGCCCACCCCCAGCTGCGCCATGTCGATCTCAGCCGCTGGTGTTTCACCCGATTCGGCATGAGGCCTGATCGCAGCACCATTGGCCGAGTGCTCAAGGAGTTCGAGCGATGGGCATCTGCGGCATCCGACAACAACACCGTGCGCGTGCGCGGCGGAGCCCATCCTGAGCTCGAGCGTGCAATGGCGCGCTGGATTGCCAATGCTGGACCGGCTGGCATGCCGTTGACCCTTGCGACAATTCGCGAGCACGTTGCGAACTTGGCGCATAGCATGTCTCTGCCTCCGACTTTCCGGTGCTCCATCGGTTGGGTCCGCCGTGCATTGCGCCGCCAGGGTGTCAGGTGCATCGCCGCATGTGGCGAGGCGGCCGGCCAGGACCTCGCCGCCATCCGTATTGCTCAGGAGAAGCTCCCGCAGCTCCTCATGCACCTCTCCGTGAGGCCGCGCGACACCTACAACTTCGACGAAACTGCACTCTACATTTCGGTGCTTCCTCGCAAGACGTACGGCGCCGGCCGTGTGGCGGGAAGGAAGGAGGTGAAAGATCGCCTCACCGTCGGCTTCCTCGTCAACGCGGACGGCTCTCACTCCTTCCGCCCCTTGGTGATCTCCAAGGCGAAGCGCCCCCACGACTTCCGCCCGAGCTTCAATCCGGTGGAGCATTGCTACTAGCGCAACACCGCCAAAGGCTGGATGACCTCACCGGTGCGTTTTTATTTGAGTGACTTCAACACTTTGCTCATGGATTTAGTGATGGTGTACTAACCTCCCAAATTTATGTTACACCCGTCCCCCATGGCAGCTTTTCATCCTCTTCATCGGGCAGCTGAACGCTGCCATGTATGCCGAGGATCGTCATATTGTGATTCTGCTTGACAACGCGAGCAGCCATATCCTCAGGTCGCGCGGCGCCACCTCCGAGGACCTATTCGGGTTCCGCACGTGCTCTCTCTCCAACATCCGCCTGGTGTATCTCCCACCGAACACCACCACCTGAGAAAATATGAACGAGAATGAAATGACTATGAACGAAGTGAGTACAAATAGGAAACCCTAATTTGGGTTGTAACCCCTATGGGATACCCCACTATAGCCTACAGAAACAAGTAAGCTATATGTTCTGACACACCCCCATAGGCAAACTGGGGGAGAACAAGGGGTCACAAGACCAGTCAAGCAAAGCAAAGCAAAGCTCAGGGTGGATCACAAAGTCACCACGCATTCCGAGCACAAGTTCAAAGGCCAGAAGGCCAGTTCACATGCAAGATCATATATAGAGATATACAAGAGTCAAGTAAGCAAGAGCAAGAGTATATATAGGCGAAGGTACAAGCAAAGTCAAGAGGAGAGCAAGTGAGGCAAGACAGGCACAAGACCCAACTGCGTGCAACAACGCTGATGATCACAAGGCGCAAGTGCCTTGGTGAAGACATCAGCAGTGTTGGCCTCAGAGGCCACGTACGCAAGTCGCAACTGTCCACGCTGCTGTAGCTCACGAGCAAGAAAGTAGCGGAGAGCAATGTGCTTCGTTCTGTGCTCCAGTCGCTGCTCTCGACACAAGGCCAGCATGGCCTTGTTGTCTACGTACAGGACTGGAGGAGAACGAGGCTGCTCTCCAAGGTCGGTCAGCAGGTAGGTGAGCCAGCGTAACTCCTGTGCAGCCATAGCCCCAGCGTAGATCTCAGCCTCACAACTGGAGCCGAGAACAGAAGACGAGCGGGTAGCCCGCCACGAAATAGAGCCGGAACCAAGGCTGAAGGTGTAACCCTGTGACGACCGCTGCGTAGCCTGGTCCTCAGCCCAAGAAGCGTCTGCGTGCCCAGTGAGGACCACTGGACTGCGCCCTCCAAGCACTAGCCCCATGCCCGACGTACTGCACAAGTAGCGCAACACCCTCTTCGCTGCAGCCATGTGCTCTGGTCGATGTCTCCTAGGAGCAACATAGCGTGCGAGAATGCTAAGAGGGTATGCAAGGTCAGGTCGTGTGCAAGTCATCAGGTACATGAGGCAGCCAACAAGCTCTGCAAACGGGCCACTCGACTCTACAGACTCATCCGAAGGCAGAGCTGAGAGCGAGTGGCGAGTAGGCAGAGGAGTGGCCTGAGGCGAGGAGTACGTGAAGCCGAAGCGCTGAAGGACCTGCTGCACCATGTGTGACTGAGTCAGGGTAATGGTGCGGCGTGCTCTGTCCCGGGTGATCTGCAAGCCAAGGTAGCTACGCAGTTCACCCAGGTCAGTGCACGTGTGTCTCTTCTGCAGCTCGGACTTCACGTGGGCGAGTCCAGCAGTGTCAGCAGTGGCAAAGACCAAGTCGTCGACGTACACGAGGATGTAGAACGGCGGCAGCGAGGTGTCGGTGCGCAGAAACAGCGACGGGTCGGCAGTAGAAGGAGCAAACCCAAGTGCCGCGAGCGTAGTCCTCAGTGTGTCGTGCCACTCACGTGGCGCCTAGCGGAGACCGTAGACTGGACGCCGGAGACTCCACTGGGTACCAGGAGGGAAAGACCCAGTGAAGCCAGGTGGGCGACGCAGCCAGATCTCCTCGTGCAGGCTGCCCTGCAAGAAAGCGGTGCTGAAGTCGAGAGAGTGGAGCTCGTAGTCACGGTGAGCAGCAACATGCAGTAGAACCCGAAGAGTGGTCATCTTCGGGGTGGGGGAGAAGGTGTGAAAGTAGTCAACCCCCTGCCGCTGACTGAAGCCACGAGCCACGTAACGTGCCTTGAAGACAGGCGGAGAACCCGGCGGCCGCTTCACCCTGAAAATCCACATGCCACTGACTATGTTCGCCCCAGGAGGGGGAACAGCGTCAACGTAGGTGCCTGTGGACTTCCAGGAAGCCATCTCTGCATCCATAGCTGCCTGCCACTGAGAGGAGTAGGGACCGTCTATCGCCTCCGCGTAAGAGCGCGGAGTCGGGATGTCTAGTGCATCCGGGTCTCCCTCAGGGGCTAGCAGTACAGACGCGAGATGAGGTGAAGCGGCGCCCAGACACTGGAACTCCTCCTGTCTGTCCTCAAGGACGTCTGTGCCAAGGGCACACTCACCCCCGACGGACGGAGGACAGGCAGACTCAGACTCAGCGACAAGACTGGCAGCGTAGTCTAGACGACAGTGCGCAGCAAAGTCGACAAGCTCAGTGACAAGGGCAGACGCAGCAGACGACTCGAAGGAAGGGTCAATGACAGCAGTAGCAAGGAGACGCGTGACAGTAGGACTGGCAGCACGAAGAGAGTCCGACACCGGGTCGGCAAGAGCAGGAAGAGAGGAAGTAGGAGGAGAAGGCAAAGGGGCACGCAGAGGAGCAGTGGACGGACGCAGTGACATCCGGTGCGTGCCAGGGACAGGAGGAGGACGCGGACGCGACCCGCGACCACTAGCGCGCGCAGTACGAACAGGCGACGCAGGACGAGACGCAGGCTCACGACGCTCAGTAAGACCTCCAGTCGGACCAGCGTAGGGAGAAGGAGCAGGCAAAGGGGAGGCAGGCTGTAGCGGTGGCTGTGACTGGACAGGCGGCAGACCCTCTAAGGGAGGAGGAGGAGGACCAGGAGAAGGTGTAAGACCAAGAACCTGCTGCAAGAGCGGAACGAAGTACGGTCGGGGCCGCGCGGCGACGCCAGAAACAGCAAGGACAGGACTAGTACCCCCAGCAGGAGTACCCGCTCCAGCAGCACCTCCAGCAGCACCTCCAGTAGCTCCAGAACCTCCAGTAGCACCACCAGGAGCACTGACAGGCGGACCGCCAGCGGCAGTCCCAGTGCCAACACCCTCAGCAGCACCAGCTCCAGGAGAAACCGCAGACCCAGCAGCTCCAGTACTCCCAAGACGAGCACCTCCGGGACCCGCGGCAGTGGCACCCTCTGCAGGCGAAGAAACTCCAGCACCAGCAGCACGCCTCCAGCGCCTTGCAAACCACTCACGCAGCTCCTGTGGGGAGAGTGGCTTACAGCGAGACGAAGCACCTCCAGGCACAGCACTCCCAAGCTCAGCACCCCCAATCTCAGCACCTCCAGGCTCACCACCCCCAGACTCCGCACCCCCAGACTCTGCAGTCCCAGGCTCAGTACCCCCAGGCTCAGCACCCCCAGGCTCAGCACCCCCAGACTACGCACCCCCAGGCTCAGCACCCCCAGGCTCAGCACCCCCAGACTCCGCACCCCCAGGCTCAGCACCCGCAGCAGCATCAGAGTCACCAGTGACCTCGACAGGCTCGACCGCGTCTACCTGGGACACACCTGAAGGGGCAGGACCCTGAGGGGGTAGGGGGTCTACCGGGGGGGGACCTGGTACCAAGAAGAGCGGGGGCGGGGGGAGGGACGGAGTGCGGTAGGGGAAGAGGCGGTAGTAGGGTACCGACTCGTCGAACGTGACATCCTGAGAGGACAGAACACGTCGAGAGGTGGGGTGGTAGAACTGCCACCCAGGGGCGTCGGGGGGGAACCCCAGGAAGACGCAAGGAGAAGCGCGAGGGGACAGCTTGTCCGCAGACAGGTCGCGGACAAACGCCCGAGATCCCCAGACCCGGAACGCCGACGCATCGCCAACCTTCCCCGTCCACAGCAGGGCTGGGGAGGTCTCCGGCCTGGAGACCCTGGGGTGGAGGTTGATCTGATGCGCTGCGTACCTGACCGCAAACGGCCACAGAAAATGGGGGGCAGCCGCATGCATCATGGACGTACGGGCGACGTCCATGACCATGCCAATGCGGCGCTCAGCAATCCCATTTTGCTGCGGAGAGTCCGGAAGCGTGAAGGACTGGCGGATGCCTCGCGCACGACAGTATGTACGTAGAAGGGTAGAGGAGAACTCTCCGCCTCTATCCGAGTGCAGACGCAACACAGGAAAGTCGGAGCCAAAGCTCTGCCTGAGCTGAAGACGAGCTGCGCGGATCCAGTCGATCAGCACCCCAGTGACCTCACCCTTGGTGCGCAAGGGGAAGACTGTGGTGTAACGCGAGTAGTCGTCAACAACGAGCAGGAAGTAGCGCTCCTGACCCTGTCCAAGGACGCGGGCTGGGCCCCACACGTCCATGTGAAGCGTCTGCAACGGGGCCTCTGTTGGAGGAAACTGGGAGGAGTGAGGGGCAGCACGCTGGCGCCCCTCGACACAGGGAACACAGGCAGGGCTAGGGCCCTAAGGAAGGGGAGGGAGGGACCGGGGAAGACCAGACACAAGAAGACGGGAGGCCATACCTCTGAGCCGAAGCAGAGAGGGGTGGCCAAGGCGGTGGTGCGAGAGGAGGGTCTCGTGAGACAGACGACGACACGAACAGGGGGCAGACTCAGGGCCAGACCTGGACGCTGCAGCAAACACCTGACCAGACGAAGGGACCCTACCAGACTCACTACCTGGCGGAGAAGCAGTGGTCAGTGTGTACAGGCTCGACCCCGGCCGACGTGTAAACGTAGCCAGGTGGCGACCTGTGCTAGCCTCCGTGCAGTGTGTCACCCGCTGACGAGCAGGAGTGAACTAGTGGACACCCACATCCTGTAGGTCAGCACCACTCACCAGGTTCGTCGAGAACGAGGGGAGGTAGAGACCAGACAGGGTGCCAGAGGGGGCCGCCGGACACAGAAGGACCGTGGAGAAGCGAGACAGGACAGGCCCTCCAGAGGTGTCAGCCAGGGACACCGCAACCGGCCGACTCAGCGGCGTGAGAGTGGTGCGGTCCCGAAAGAAGGAGCGAGACGCTCCAGAGTCAAGGGTGAAGGTGTGAGAGGCCGAAGCCGACACAGTACCTGAGAGGGCAGACTCACCAGTACCTGAGAGCACAGACGCACTAGCACCTAGAGCAGCAGCCTCACGAGTACCTGACGCAGCAGTACCAATGCCCGGGTCGGGCGGGAAACACCGGTAACAGTCATCCTCATCACTACCAGTCACAACATACATAGCAGAAAGAATAGCATCAAAGTCAAGATCATAAATAGCTACACCAGCCCTAGACAGCTCCCCCCAGCGGGGGATCTTAGCGGCCTCCGGAAACTGCTGACGCCAAACGTCGGTCAGGCGGCCAAAGCAGCGGCGGGCTGTGTGGGTGCCTCCACACCTCTCCCCCGCACGGTCGCCGGTGCGAAGAACGTAGGGGCAGGGACCAAACGCACCACCACGCTGACGCTGCAAGTACCACTCACGAAGCTGCTGAGGGGCGGGGACGGTGCGAGATCGCTGCTGCTGCTGTGGCTGCTGCTGCTGCTGCTGCTGCTGGCGTTGACCACCCCCAGAGCTGCTCCGCTGTGACGAGCCACCCCGACCCCCGCCGCCACCGCCACCCCCGCCTCCACCGCCACCCCCGTCTCCACCGCCACCGCCCCCACCGGCACCCTCACCCCCGCCTCCTCCGCTACCTCCTCCGCCGCCACCTCCGCCTCCACCGCCTCCACCAGTACCCCCACTCCCGCCACCACCTCCACCGCCACCCCCACTCCCCCCGCCACCCCCACCTCCCCCGCCATCGCCCCCTCTAGCTCCACCCGCTCCCTTGCCCCCTTTGCCCTTGCCATTGCGGCGTCTACCGCTGGGGGCAGACGCCGCACCGACCAACTCAAAACCAGCGAGGTCGGCCGCAGCGGCAGAGGCGACAGAGGGCAGCAGGGGGGAAGGAGAACACCCCTCAAAAATAGGGGTGTGAGGGTCACCCCGAGAGGCCCCTACAGCGACGATGCTCTTCTCAGCCGCTAGCAGGGACTCCTCAAGGAGGTCGACAGTGAGGGTGGTGGGACAGACAGAGAGAAACTGGTCCCTAACTACACGAAGGGACTCAGGGAGACGAGTGACGAGAAAGTAGAGAGTGATGTACATGGGAGGAGGGTTTGCGGCGCGGAACTCAGCAGGAAGGGCAGCGCGGTAGCGAGCGTCACTAGCGCGGAGGTGGGTAACGAGGTCAGCAACAGTGGGAAATGCAGCGAGGTCAGGGAAGAGAAACGGTAGCATGAGGCGGCTAAGTGTAGCGGAGGAAGGGGAGGAGTAGCGTGCAACTACAGCGTCGTACAAGGCCTGAGCGGTCTTGCACTGACTAAAGTGGGCACGCTCGGAGGAAGGGAGGTGGCGACGCACAGCAAGACGTGCAGCAGCATCGCGGGTCGCCCACTTGGAGCGAACGGCGGGGTCAGCATCAGCAGGAGGGGCAGGGACAGCGCCAGAGACAAAGTCAAAGAGAGAGACCTCATCTATCGCATCACACAGTAAGTATAGCTGCAGGTCCTCAATCCAGACTGCAAAGTCAATGGCTCTACCCTCAGCGTCAAAAGCTAGGACCGTGGGGGTGGCCATGACAGCAGCTGACAGTCTCACCGGGCAGGAAAAGTCGGGTAGGTCAGCGGCACAGTAACAGAGCCCAGGAGCAGCAGTGGTCCCACAGGAGCAGGAGCGCGGCTCCTCTGGCGGCTCTGGCGGCTCGGGCGGCTCGGGCGGCTCGGGCGGCTCGGGCGGCTCGGGCAGCTCGCGCGGCTCGCGCGGCTCGGGTGACGCAGGGGCTCACGGGCGGCGCGGGCGGCTGCACGGGCGGCGCACGGGCGGCTGGGGCTGCTCACGGGCGGCACGGTGGGCGGCTGCACGGGCGGCTGCACGGTGGCGCGGCGGGCTGCAGCACGAGCGGCGGGGCAGACGGCGGGCCGTAGCGGGGTTGTAGCTGGGGCCGACGGCGGGCTGTAGTGGGGCCGACGGCGGGCTGTAGTAGGGCCGGCGGCGGGCTGTAGCGGGGCCGACAGCGGGCTGTAGCGGGGCCGACGGCGGGCCGACGGCGGGCTGTAGCAGGGCCGGCGGCGGGTTGTAGTGGGGCCGCCGGCGGGCGGTAGCGGGGCCGACGGCGGGCTGTAGCAGGGCTGACGGAGGGCTGTAGCGGGGGCGACGGCGGGCTGTAGCGAGGGCGACGGCGGGCCGACGGGGTCTAGGCGGGGCCGACGAGGGGCCGTAGCGGGGCCTAGGCGGGCCGACGGGGCCTAAGCGGGGCCGACGCGGGGGCGTAGCGGGACCTAAGCGGGGCCGACGAGGCCTAAACGGGGCCGACGCGGGGCCGTAGTGAGGCCTAAGCAGGGCCGACGAGGCCTAAGCGGGGCCGACGAGGGGCCGTAGCGGGGCCTAAGCGGGGCCGACTGGGCCTTAGCGGGGCCGACTCGAGGTCGTAGCGGGGCCGACGGGGCCTACGCGGGGCCGACGAGGCCTAAGTGGGGCCGATTAGGGGCCTAAGTGGGGCCGACGAGGGGCCTAAGCGGGGCCGACGAGAGGCCTAAGAGGGGCCGACGAGGGGCCTAAGCTGGGCCGACGAGGGGCCTAAGCGGGAGCACGGCGGTAAGGGCGACACGGAGGGTCGCTAAAAAAAAAACGCGCGCCTCGGGGCGCGCTTCGGTGGGCCCTAGGAACAGTCCCTAGGAAGGGACCTGCTCTGATTCCATGAGAAAATATGAACGAGAATGAAATGACTATGAACGAAGTGAGTACAAATAGGATGGCGAAGGCGCAGTACCGGCAGCATTGGCTGCGCGCCTTCACCGCCCGCTGGAATGCGGAAGGAGCAACCCCGGCCGTGGCTCGCTTCAAGCCCAACCTCCGCGACGTCGTCGCCTGGCTCAACGACGCGTGGATGAACATCGAGCTGCGCACAATTCAGCGCTGTTGGTGGCGCACCGGCTGCCTCCCGCGTGCGTGGGCCATGGACCTTCCTCACGTGGGCGACGACGCAGTTGGTGCAGGCCGAGCCGCGGACATCGGCCTTGATGAGGAGATTGGGGATGTTGGAATCCTCATCGATCGCCTCGGCCTTGGTTCAAGCGCAATGCCGGCAGCGGCATTGGTCGCCATTGACGACAACCAGCCTACCTGCGCAGAGCTGGGCGAGGATCCGCTGGCCACCGAGCCGCCAACCGCGCCTTCTGCGGAGATGTGGGAAGCGTCCGCCACCATGGAAGCCGTCTACGAAGACAGCAACCCCGAGTCCCGCGAGGCACGGCGCTACGCTCGAGCGGCCTCCGAGATGCTCATCGGCTACGCGAAGGCAACCAGCATCACCCCGCGTGACTTGTGCGCGCTCTTCGATATCCGCAACCCCATCATCAGGGCGCGTATGGAGCGCGCCAGCCCGCCGATTAACCTCAACATGACCCCGCCGCCTGCCATGCCTGAGGGCGCCACCCCACAGGCCGAGACACCTCGTCGCCGTGGCCGCGTGCTTCCGGCATGGATGACGGAGCCCACCCCATCGTGGGTGACTCTGACTCAGCAGGCGGAGCGCCGCCAGGAGCTGATTGACGGCGATGTGCCGGCCGTCATGGGTGGCTACCTGGCAGCGCCGAATGGATGCGCCTGTGAAGGGGTTTGAGTCCCTTCGGAGGAGTTCTACTCTCCTCCTGCTGTCAATGTGCACATCTTGTGCACATTGCAGAGCTCGGAAATCGATGACGGAGAAGTAGCTCGAGTACAAGTGTGATGATTCCATTGGTTGGTGGGCTGGGTTTGATGTTCGTTACAATTTGAGTGTGTTTGTGTACTTGCATGCTATATTGGACGGAAAAAAAAGTGGTAACCGTGCAACTTACAAACAACAAAACCGGCCAACCCGTCTACAGTTTGGATAAAACAAACGAGTAACAACCTAAGTTGTTTAGGAGCACGTCAAGGTTGTGGCGAACCTGAACGAACAATGCGAAATGCCTAAACCACATATAAGCCCAAAGCACAAGGCAAAGTAGGGTGCGCCAAACGAGCATTAGCTGTATGTATCAGGGCTGCTATGCATCATGGAGAATGTCTGTTGCATCAGAAAGAGACTTTGCCATTCTACATTTGTTTGCACTCCTAGAATTCCAGTAGGGCGAAAATGACTTTTTGTTTGAAGCGCATAGAATTTTGTTTGGCACAATGAAGACTTCCGTCCAGGCTTTTCTGGAAGCCCCGGATTAATGTTTTCCGTTCTGGAGTAGTGTTACGAGTGCAAGTGAGTGAACGAGCGAGAATTGCACTATCGAAGCAAGAGTACAATGAGCGAAGGTATGAGCGAAGAATATATAGCGAAACTACAGTGGTAACGGTAATGGTCGCGCGACGAGCCTGGGACTGAGGTTGGGAACGTGTCGAAGCGTAGGCCCGGAGCGCGGGTTACCAGCCGAGCCGTGAGGTCGGGATGCGATGTGCGAAAATGGCGGGATGATGAATGATGCGATGGTCGCGAGTGGTAACGGTGCTGACTGAGGTGCTACAGTGATGTACGCGTTGAGCAGAGATGCAAAGTAAGGAAAAGGGAATTTCCTTACACTACCCCCCCCTCCTAAAAGGTCCTCCTTACGAAAGCGCGTGGACGTCTTTGAAGTTTCGGCTGCGTAGATAGTCGGTGACGACAGGGTGGTTTTCAATTCTGTCCAGGGGAACCCAGTTGTCCTCGGTGGGTGTACGATCTTTCCAGCGAATCAGAAACTCAACTTTTCAGGCCCCTCGAGGGTCGCGAACTCTGTGGCTCAAGATTTTGTCGGGGGTGATGACTGGTTCGGTTGGTGGTCGTGACATGCTGGATGGTCGATGTCGTGGGAGTTGGCTGGTGGATGGTACGTAAGGGCGAAGCAGGCTGACGTGGAACGAGGGGCTGACGTACCAGTCAGCAGGAAGGAGGAGGTGCGCGGTGACAGGTGTGATCATGTGACTGATTCGAAATGGCCCACAGTATCGAGGGCGGAGTTTGGGAGTGATGGGCAGGCGGAGGTTCTGAGTGTCGAGTAAAACGAGGTCGTCGGGCTGATAAGTGACGGGTCTGCGGTGGCGATCGGCGTTGCGTTTAGCGATGATATTTGATTTTTTAATTGCTTCTGCTGCCCTGGTCCGTGCTGCTTGCAAAATCTCGGCGAACTGTTGTGCGCGTGGAACGGGATTGTCGGGGTTTGGTGTCATGGGTACTGTTGGGTTCTGTCCGTAATTCAAGTAGAATGGCGACTGTTGGGTCGTGGCAGATGGCGCGTTGTTGTATGCGAACTCGATGAGAGGCAGCTGCTGCTCCCACGTGTTTGGATCGTCACACGTGGCTCGAATGAGTTGCTCCATAGTCTGGTTTGTCCGTTCTGTCTGTCCGTCGATTTCGGGGTGATACGATGAACTGAATTGAAGTCGCGTGCCGAACTGCTGCCACAGGTTCCGCCAGAAATTACTGGTAAACTTCGTGTCCCTGTCGCTGATGATTGACGCTGGTATCCCGTGCAGTCGAACGACAGTGGCGATGAAGAGTCGGGCTGTTTCCTCGGCTGTGATTGATTTCCTGCATGCTGCGAAATGTGCCATTTTCGTTAGTCGATCGACGACGACCAGGATCGCGTCATTCCCACTCGCCCCGGCCGGTAACCCCGTGACGAAGTCCATGGTCACCTGCTGCCAAGCACGCTCTGGAGGTGGGATTGGTTGTAATTGTCCTGCCGGCCGCTTCCTGGTTGACTTCATGAGTTGGCAAGTGGGACACGATGCCACGTGTCGTTGCACGTCGGTCAACATTTCCGGCCAGTAATAGTACCGCTGCAGCTGCTGCCGTGTTTTTTCTACTCCGAAATGTCCCGAGGTAGCTCCGTCGTGTGCCTCCTGTAACAGTAGTTCCCGTAGTAGCGTGTACCCTGGTACCCAGATGCGGTCGGATCCAGCTTTTCCGTAATAGGCTCCCTTGGCTGCTGCGAATTGCTGTGAATTTCCTCCTGTGAAGAATGGGTCTGTTTGATATCCGTGGGTAAATAGTCCTGTCAGTAACGGGCTGGTCTGGGCGAGTAGTATCGCATGTATTTGGGCAGTGGGGCGGGTCAGTGCGTCGGCGATATTCGAGGCTCCCTTTTTATATGTGACCGTATAGTGGAAATTCGATTCGAGGAAGTCGAGCCACCGAATCTGTCGTGGGTTGAGGTGGGGCTGTGCGCGAAGGTACTGTAGGGATCGATGGTCTGTCCGTACTGTCACGTCTGCGCCGGTCAAGTAGCAACGCCACACTTTGAATGCATGCACGATCGCGAGCATTTCGCGGTCGTGTATCGGGTAATTTTGCTCAGGTGGATGTAGCTTGCGTGATTCGTAGGCGATGGGTTGGAGGCCGTTGCCGAAGTCCTGTAACAGTACGGCTCCGATGGCGATGTCACTCGCGTCTGTAACAACTTCGAAGGGGCGGTGTGGGTCAGCGATGCGTAGGACGGGTGGTGAACAGAGAACATTTTTCAGGGCAGAGAAGGCAGCATGCTCTTTCTCCCCCCACGTAAAAGGGACCCCCTTACGCAGTAAATCAGTGAGCGGGGCTGTTAAGCGTGCCATGTCGGGGACGAACCGACGAACGTAATTAACAAACCCTAAAAAACTCTGTAGTTCCGTGATGTTCGTCGGGAGATGCCACGCTTTTACGGTATCCAGCTTCTTAGGGTCTATCTCAACCCCAGCCTCCGAAATGACGTGACCTAAAAACTCTAGCCTGTCCCGAAAAAACTCGCACTTGGAGCCCTTGGTGAGTAACCGATGTGCCTCTAAAATTTTAAAAACTGCTTCGAGATCTACTAAGTGCTGCTGCTGGTCCCGACTGTAAACGAGGATGTCGTCGAGGTAAACTATGACGCATTTATCTAAAAGTGGCCTAAACGCCTCGTTCATGGTCATCTGAAATGTTGCAGGCGCGTTGGTCAGCCCGAAAGGCATCACCGTGTACTCGAATGACCCGTACCTAGTCCTAAATGCTGTCTTGGCGCAGTCCGATGGTTCGACCCGAATTTGATGGTAACCTCCCCGTAAGTCTATTTTCGAAAATACTCGTGCGGTTCGCAGCTGGTCGATCAGTTCGTCGGCGCGGGGGATGGGGTATCGTGATTTTACTGTTACCCTGTTAAGCGCTCGGTAGTCGATGCACATGCGAAACCCCCCGTCTTTTTTCGGTGTGAACAGTATCGGTGCGGCGAACGGTGACGAGCTCGGTCGGATAAACTGCTTCTCTAACAGGTAATCAAACTTCTTCCTTAGCTCGTCGAGCTCGGGCTGTGTCAGTCGAAATTGGCGCTGTACAGTTGGCTGTGCCCTTGGTTCTAACTCGATCCTATGGTCATGCGCCCGCTGAGGTGGCAGCCCTTGCGGTAAGTCGTCCGGAAAGATACCCGGGAACCGTTTCAGTAGTGCCTGTAGTTCGGGTGGTACGGCTGCCAACAGTTTCTGCAAATCACTCGGCCGGTCCTCTTTTTCCACTAATGCGATATCCACTGCGTACACGTCAGCTCCAGCAGCGACAGCCCGTTTCATCGTGATGGCGTTGACCTGGACCGTCGAAGACTCGGGTGGCTGCCAGCGAGGTAGGACGACCCATTTACCACTACTTCGCACTGTGCAGCTACCCGTCGTCCAGTCAATTCGTGGGTTATACCTGTGAGAATAAGCGAACAGGAATGAATGAACTAGCAGTGAAATGAGTACAAGTAGGAAACCCTAGAATTGTGTACCCCCTATAGGCTAACCCACTGTAGCCTACACAAGCAGAACATATATAATGTTTGACACACCCCCATAGGCAAAGTGGGGGAGAACAAGTGGTCACAAGACCAGTCAAGCAAAGCAAAGCAAGCTCAGGGTGGATCACAAAGTCACCACACAGTCCGAGCACAAGAGCAGGGCCAGAGGCCGTGTTCACATGCAGGAGTACAGACATATATATAAAACTAGACAAGCAAGAGCAGGTATATATATATGTCACAGTACAAGTGAAGTCAAGAGGAGAGCAAGTGAGGCAAGACAGGCACAAGACCCAGCTGGGTGCAAAAGCGCTGATGGTCACAAGGCGCGAGTGCCTTGGTGAACACATCAGCAGTGTTGGCCTCAGAGGCCACGTACGCAAGTCGCAACTGACCACGCTGCTGCAGCTCACGAGCAAGGAAGTAGCGGAGAGCAATGTGCTTTGTTCTGTGCTCCAAGCGCTGCTCTCGACTCAAGGCCAGCATGGCCTTGTTGTCTACGTACAGCACTGGAGGAGAACGAGGTGGCTCTCCAAGGTCAGTCAGCAGGTAGGTGAGCCAGCGAAGCTCCTGTGCAGCCATGGTCCCGGCGTAGATCTCAGCCTCACAACTGGAGCCGAGAACCGAAGACGAGCGAGTAGACCGCCACGAGACAGAGCCGGAACCAAGGCTGAAGGTGTAACCCTGTGACGACCGCTGCGTAGCCTGGTCGTCAGCCCAAGAAGCGTCCGCGTGGCCGGTAAGGACCACTGGACTCCGCCCTCCAAGCACTAGCCCCATGCCCGACGTACTGCACAGGTAGCGCAATACCCTCTTCGCTGCAGCCATGTGCTCTGGTCTGTGTCTCCCAGGAGCAACATAGCGTGCAAGAATGCTCAGAGGGTATGCAAGGTCAGGTCGTGTGCAGGTCATCAGGTACATGAGGCAGCCAACAAGCTCTGCATACGGACCACTCGACTCTACGGACTCATCCGAAGGCAGAGCTGAGAGT